GAACACGCTTTTCAGGACCGGAAAAAATGCTGGCGTCGTCATAACGTGTCACGGCAAAGAAGGAGAAGAAAAAAATACGGTAATCTTTGCTCGTGCTTTGTCTTGTTATTGATTGTTGGTTGGGTTAGAGGTTGGGCGAGCGGGAGAGCGGGTGCCACCTGTTGGCGCGAGGCTGAAGTGCTGTTTCTTGCTCATGGCAGCAGATGGCATTACCCGCCGTGTGGCTTGGCCTTAGGGGCGGGTCCGGCCTCCGCGCGCACGCTGCTAATCTCACTCGTTTATCACCAGCGTCATGTAATGCGGAAGCCACTTCTTTTTGCCTGGATAATGCTTTTGAAATTATTAACTATCAAACAAATTGCCTAATCTAATTTGCGGCGGTGGTGTGGGGCGCGCCAGCGTTGGCTCCTCCTCCGCGTGCGGCGCCACCCAGGAGGCGGAGCCGCCGTGGGCCGCACCCACCTCGGCAGGGCGGAGCGCGATAATTAGGGCTTCACTGCCAAACTAGATAGAATTTGGGCTTGTTTACATTCCTTGGCCCGCAAATGAACGCAGTGGAGTGTGTTCGGCGGGGTGATGCAGTGCCAACTTGCGTCCCTTGTTCCAGATTAAATCAGGAATGGTGTAGATGGAAGGGAGTCGGTGTGGGAGAGATAATATTCACGTGTTGGTATCTTAACAGCCATGTCGGGACTGATGGCCCTCCCTCGCAGCCAGAGTCAGTAACCCTGAGTTTGGGAGAGAGAAGATACTCGCTCCACTTTCGTCCGTCCCACTAAAGTTAGTAACGACCGTTAAGGAGAGTTCGTTCGAGTGACAAAGCCGTAGTGCGTGGCACTGCTATTGGGCAAGTAGAGTGCCCATAGTGAGTCAGTCGAACGGTAATCAAACCTCAAGTTAGTGTTTGTGAATACGTACCCTAGCAGTGGAGACTTCGGTCCTGGCGCCGCTGCTCGCACCACCGGCACCTCTGCTTATGCAGTGCAGTCGTGTGCCATCGCCTCCGCCGCCGTCCTGACACTGCCAGCGTCGCCAGAGTGCCAGTTTTTTTGTTGCTGGAATAGTAACCTTGTGCTATAGTGCCAGATATATGTGCCAAAGCTGTGTCTTCCATTGTTGAGTCCACATATCCAGGGCCCACAGCTTTGGGATAGTGTCAGATGTGCCGAGTTTCGATCAGTGCCAAATCTGCCGACGACGGACCCCGACGCTGTCACACTGCGAAGGCGACCGATTTGCTGTCACACTCGGGAATGTTTGACCCACTTCAGTGAGTGTTTGGTCTGCCCCTCGTTGGTCCAGCATAGTGCCATGGTGCTGGACGCTGTGTCCGGATCCAAAACACATTCGCACTGCTAATTAGGTCGTAGATGGACCCACGCCCATTAAGCCTTCCAGGAATTTTGGTAAAGAATCCGGCTGAAACATTCCTAAATTTTATGCTGAAGGATAATTGCACGGATGCTAGTGTATATCGATTTTTAATTGTATTAAAATTATGGTGACATGCAGTGCCTAGTTTCAAAAGTTTTTGTATAATGCTGGAATGCTTACTATAGAATTCTGTTTAGGTTTTGAGACGTATTGTGGTTTTGTCGATCGTCATTTGCTTTGAATTACCCCCCCCCCCTAAAAAAAAGACCTGCGAAAAGTTAATTACTCTGTAAATTGAACAACTTTTGAATTAAAGGGGAAACACCAAAGCAGTGTCGGTTCTGTCTTGAAAACAGAAGCTTGTGCTGGTTCGACTAGAACTGAAAAAATAGCGTTTGAAGGTTTATGACAAAATTTGAGCTCGCTTTGGCATATGTGGTAGATGCATGTGTCATCTTTATCTGTTTATTTGTTTATTTATTTTTAGACGACATCCTTATTATTTTTTTCCAGTAAGTTCTCTATTTCTTTTTTTTATTATTTTTTATCTGAAATTTACTGTAACTAGTAACCTAATTTCTATTGTATATAACAAGTTTTTTTTTCCAAGGAATATCTGATTTGATTCAAATATTAATTAATAAAGTATATATTTATTTACTTTTTTACTATTGTTATTGAGTTGTTGATATTATTATTATTATCATTATTATTATTATTATTATTGTTATTATTATTATTATTTTTACTTTATTATTATCAGTTATAATTATCATGGCAATCGTAGGTTTGAAATTCTACCATTTTCTTCATCGAATCCCATGTGTTCTTGTACAGTGACGCCAGTGGTATATGTCTTCGCCGTGATTAGTATCTGCCCAATGCATGTCCATATCGAATGCCTTGATTTTCACATTTTCATGGTGTCTGTGCATGAAACGTACTCTGTATATAACTTCTGATTGATTCACTGCAGTGGTGCAATCTTTGTGATGATTTGCAATAGCGAGATTTGCGACGTACTGTAGTCTTTGTGAAGAACAGGTTTTCCCCGTATCACAGCTGTGGCGTCTCTTGGGCTGCTTCAGTGTGATTCATAGCACTGACTGACTATATTTGATGGTAACTTCATCTGTGATTACAGTTGCTGAAATTTAAGACAGGAGAGTTGAGAAAGGCAATTACATAGTTCATTATGCAGGGTGTTGTTGTTTGTTCGATTTATCTGTACGTAACGACTCGTAGCCTTGTAGTCCTGTTTGATATTGTCACCCCACCCACCTCCCTCTCCGGCATACCTCCCAGTGCCATAGCAGAACGAGCGTTAGCTAGCTTGGCGTTGCAGTGACAATCTAATTGATTATGCCATACCTCTAGGATGGTCCCTGCCTCCGCTTGTCGTCGTGGCTTGGTCTGAGCAAAGCCAGTTGCCTGACATGACCCTCTCCGTGCCCCCCCTCCCTCCCTCCACCCTAGCGTGACCTGTGATCCCCTCACAAACATGCCTGCCCTGTGATTGGCTTCTGAAGCATTGTGATTCAAGGTCCCAATAGACGATTGAGTTGTGGTTGGTTCGGAGAGGCCCTGATTGGTAGGAATGGGAGGGGTTGCTGATTTGTGATTGGCCTGAGGAGGAATACAGTTCGTGATTGATAGGCTGGTTAATTTGGTGGATAATAGGCCTTGATTATGACTAGTCTTGAGGTTGGTTATTGATTGGTTGGTTGAGAGACTGTTTGCAGTGGAGAGGCTTGGCACTGGAAGCTCCTTGCTGTAAATTGACTTATTGTTACGTAGTGCTAATTAGTTCATTGAAGGCTTCTTGCACGTTGAGAGGGTTGCAGGTCTATCACGCAGATGGAAACATGTTCAAACCCGAGTTCTCTTTAAACCTTGAGCATTATTCTCAGCAGATTACAAATGCCATCGAAACGAACCACACTGACAAGCACCGTCACTCGCCATTATCCAGGTACAGTAGATTTGAACAAGACCAGAAAAAAAAGAAAGAAAAAAAAATGATCATAAAAAAAATCATAGCTGTGCAATAGAGCCATTTGCGTCCTGTTTAGATTTTCAATAATGGCCCCGGAGGAAAAGTTTCTAATTTGTCTCGTCTCGGAATTGCCTGTCTCACCTCAGCGTCACAAGCACAAAAGATCCAACGTGAAGTCTCTCATGCAGGCCCTGTATGTCAGACGTCATTCCCATGGCAGGATGTGGATGTGTGCGTGTGAAGTTTTTGCTGTAGCAATATTAGGGGGGCTGGGAAAAGCTTTTTACTTTTTTATTGGTTTATTTTTTTTAATTATTATTTATTATTATTATTATTTATTTTTGTGTTAATTAATCTTGTATATCGCCCTAAGACTTACAACTGTAAAGAAATATAAATATGCAGTCGCAAAAGGGGAAATGTGAGATGGATGTTGCTTAATCATTTTTATTTTTATTTTTATTTTTTTATTTTTTTTTTTTTTATTTTTTTTTTTTTGTGGGTGGGAGTGCGATTTTATTGCTGCTATTTGTGACGGAGTTTTTATCTTTATTTTTGTTTCCCTGGCGTTCTGTGGTATTTAGCTTCAAATTTATTGTTTAAGAAATTGGAGAAGGGGGTAAAGTGTGTGTGTGTGTGTGTGTGTCTTTGGTACGTTTATGTACAAGCATATATATTTATATTTACATGTATATGTATTTATATGTGTATATAAGTGTGTGTGTGTGTGTGTGTGTGTGTGTGTATATATGTATATATATATATATATATATATATATATATATATATATATATATTTATTTATGTGTGTGTGTGTGTGTGTGTGTGTGTGTGTGTGTGTATGTGTATGTATGTATGTATGTATGTATGTTGTATGTATGCACATATACATATATATGTATGTATGTTTATGTATATATACATAAATATACACACTAATGTGCGAATGTGTGTGTGTGTGTATGTATATATTTATATATATATATATATATATATATATATATATATATGTGTTGTGTGTGTGTGTGTGTGTGTGTGTGTGTGTGTGTGTGTGTGTATTTGTATATATATATATATATATATATATATATATATATATATATATACATATATATAATTTGTCCAAATAAACTCCCAAATTACCCTTTTTATATCAAATTACGATATAAATTTGCCAAGAGAAGAGTAAAGTCTTATTTTTTTAAGTCACTGACATTGTAAACTTTGGCAGAAATAAAGAGCGAGGATTCATTGCGCGAAGGTCAGGTCGGAGTTGCATGAGAGCTGCGATTGACAGCTGATCCTGCAGCTCGATCGACAGGCAGATTCCGTCTATTCAGAGAGAGATTTCGTGATATTGTGAAAGTGCCAGTGATTCGCTGCATTCTGTTTCCTCCTTTCTCTTTTTTGTGGATATTTTTTTTCTGACGCCTGTTCTTCTTTCAGGAAATGTCTGGGGGGACGTCGACAACGCCTGCCCTTTGCCAACGCCGTCCAGGATATGCTGGAAAGAACCGCGATCGCCCAGGAGAAGGATGGCGTCATCCCTGCCTCTTCCCCTCTCCCCCCACCCCTCCATCCTCCTCCTCCTCCTCCGTGCCATTGTCATCAGGAAGATCGCCTGCACCGTCATCGCCGTTCCATCAACTGTCACTGTGATAAGTGTTCTTTTATGTTGCCATTATCTCTTAAAACTGCATTGCGTGAAGGGTGATCTCATTACCATCTTGTAACACGTGGGTGGGAGGGATACAGGGTAGCGCCCCGTAGTAGTAAACACAAGAGCTTCCTGTTCTCGAGCGGAGCCTCCCGCCGTGGCTCGCAGAAATCCTGGTTCTCCTCACGTAATTTGCGAGGAGCCTTGGTGTTCTCTCCCTTGTGCTTAAGGGGAAAGAGTTAAAGGGGGGGGGGGGGGGGTAAGGACCCGGGCACGTTTTGCTTTCACAGATGGTTTGAAGGTGTGGGAGGAGAGATTTCGAATATCTTCCTCTTTTGTTTTTTTTTGTGTGTGGATTTTGTTCATTTTTGGGAGTATCACCTTTAACGAACACTCATAGAGATATGTGTATGTTTGTTAGCAGATAAGAAATAAGATCACAGATATATTTTAAGATGAATTGAAATCTATACCATTGTTTAAATCTAACAATGTTTTTGTAATGCAATTGTCTAATTCCATCTTCCACTTGTCGCAGGTAATGGCCAGCTCCTCAGTTCTAAGTTGCCCGTCCTCCATTCCCTGAGACCCTTTCTTGTGAGGGAAGGACTTCACAGGCAAGGTGCTCAGGCATGGATGGCGGTGCTCCATCTTCACGAGGCAGACGCTGAGGCTCTTCGTGGGCTTTTCCTTCGGCGAGATTCCGAGAGGCAGAGCTGATGTGTTTGGTTTGTTTGTCTGCGCTGTATGTCTGTTTATGTAGGTTTCGCTGTTTTTTTGTTTTTGTAAATGATTTGATAGGGTAGAATGTATTATTGTCAAATGTATTACTTTCTATTGTTTGTGTTTATGATTCTGTATTTATTTCTTGTATTTACATGTATTTAGATGTAGACAATCCCGATATTAATGGAAAGTTTAGGAAAGTTTGTTTTATAATGATTTATGTGTGTTTTATATTATGAATGTATAAATGTGATATTTTTGTTCATATGTTGACCATGTGAAGTGTTAAATGTGTTGTGCATAGATTTATAAGATATTTTGTTGTCACTGTAGGATTCCACATCCATATCGATTTTATCTTGCACATTTCTCTGTATATTTAACATTTAATGTTGGAAATAATAGTATATGTAGCTTGATTAGTATCCATACTGTATAGAATGACTGGACTCCATTATAGTTCAATTATCCAGTACGTTTGTGTATATATACCTTAATTTTACATGTTGATTTATGTAAATCAGTGGTTCCCAAACTTCTGTAGGCTGCTGCCCCTTGGCCCCCAGGCATCATCACTAAGCTCCCCACACACATCCTGTGCATTATCTTCAGCAAATTCAAAATAAAATCATATCTAAATATATAAAACTCGCCCTTATTTACACCTCACATTTTTAATTGGATGGAAGTGCTTGGTTCAGGGATATCAGCCTTTCAACATCGGGCTTGAAATCACTCAAAAGTCTTACATCTAAGCATTTTCATTCAGAATACGATGATGGGTATAAAATGCACTTCGCTCATGTTCCACACCACAGGAGAGTGACCAGAAATATGTTTTACAACCAAAAATTGTTTAAAACTCTGGCTTTAGCTCATTTTAGAGTGAAATCGTTCTTTCTCCAGTGCTCGTTCCCTCAATGCTGATATTTAGAATCACCCACTTCAGTACGTTGAGCAAAAAAATGAGGGAGAAATCTGTTGGACACGTCTCTTTGCAGCTCATCTAGGTGTAAACAGTACACTTTAAGGTCATCAAGTGTATTGATGCTGGAGATATGATGATACAACTCCCGACCCAAGCCATTAAGAAGGCTGATTAGATCGGGAAAACAGGCACTAGGGAAGTCTGTGCTAGTAGTAGTCCGTTTTGTGAGTCCCCTTGGTTCTGGTGCTACACTGCCACCCTCCAATGCGCCTTTATTCTCGCTATCTCTTTGGACCTTTCCATTACCTGCTTTAGGAACCACTGGTGTAGATACAAAAATATTTACGTTTGAGAGTTCATTTTTATTTTTCTTATATAATATGAACTCCTCTATATTGTCCAGATATATCAGGTACTTTACAATAAAATTTATTTAAAATGGATATTCACTTTTACTAAAACAATCCAAAAATACCTCATCAATATATGCAATTTTAAAAAATCAGATTATGTTGGATAAATGTTCCAAAGAGAAAAGTAAAACATAATAGAAAAGTAAGGAAGTATGTGTAAATTGATTAAAACAATGAGCAAATGTTAAACTCATATTACAAAAGAAGCTGATTGTCTTTAGCTAATCCAGTGATATGATTAAGAACTGAATGTGATATGAAGACGAATTCTGAAAAGAGACTTGATTCCCTCCTGTCGTTTACCCATACCAAGTTTTGGGAACTACTGCTATACTCGTTTGGGCTTTTCTATATGATACACAAACGATTATTTGCGGATGTCGTTTTTTCCCACTAGTATTGCACT